TCAGACCCCTTGTGTTTCCATTTCGGGCTCTGTAATTCCACTCCCAAGTTTGTTCTCCAACAGCCTTATTCACCAATCCCTGGCTGCCCTGCATCCCTGGCCTCTGCCTACTGCTGTGACTACCAACCTCGCGACCCTGTACTCCAAGTACCCATCACTATGTTAGAAAAGAGCACTTTCTCTGTTTTGTTTTTTCTCTCTCTCTCTCTCTCTCCAGGGTCTCCCTCTGTGGCCTGTGCCCTCCCAGCCCTCGCCTCTCAGTTCTTCCTGCTCTCAGCTCACTCGGCTCTGGCGCTTCCTGCTCTCTCTGCACTCAGCACTTGGTTCTCTAGGTCCTCAGCGCTCCCTATTCGTGGTTCTTGGCCCTCAGCCCTCTGCTCTCCCATTGGCCTCCCTCAGAGCCCCCTCCTGTTAAAATGGCAGGCAAACCTCTCTCTCTGCTTGCTGCGTTCTCTCCCTTCCCACGGCCATCTTCCTCTGCTGTCTCTCACTTTCCTGCAGCCACCTCTCCCTCTGGAGTAAATCCCTTCCTTGTGGCCACCTCTCACACCGAAGTAAAGATCTCCCGTGTAACTCACTGCATCTGGTGCTTGGGTTTGCCATGGTATTTCCCAACTGTGGGCCTTAGGTTGCTACAAACCTGCACTTCATGGTCAGTTGCCTGATGACTTTGGAGGTCTCAGGAGACTAACACTCTATCCCCTACCCCTTCCACGTGAGCTATTTAAGACCATGAAGAAGACAGGGAGCTGAGCAGAAAGTACTGACAAAGCTATTTGAAAGATATTGCTCATAGCAATGTGTACCTAAAGCCAGGATACCTCATCACATCCTGGCCTTTTGGCACAGTACTTCAAAAAGTTCATGGGTACGTGGCATTAAAAGATAATATATTTCGAACCTGGCGCAGTGGCCTTGAGTGGAGCGGGATCCCATATGGGCACTGATTCTTATCCTAGCAGCCTTGTTTCCCAGCCAGCTCCCTGCTCGTGGCCTGGGAAAGCAGTTGAGGACGGCCCAAAGCCTTGGGACCCTGCACCCACGTGGGAGACCTGGAAGAAGTTCCTGGCTCCTGGGTTCAGATTGGCACAGCTTTGGCCATTGAGCTCACTTGGGGAGTGAACCATTGGACAGAAGAACTTCCTCTCTGTCTCTCCTCCTCTCTGTATATCTGACTTTCCAATAAAAATAAATAAATCTTTAAAAAGAAGATAATATATTTTGGTGCAGAAAAATATTGAGATTCATACACCATTTTTGTTTTTCTTAATATGTGTTCCCACAGTAGTTGAAGTTCCCTCCTCTATGTATAAATCTGTGTGTGTGTGTGTGTGTGTGTGTGTGAACTGTCATGCCTGTTTAATAATGCAGAATGAATCCCTGGTGCAACTGCACACACTGTGTTTCTTCCTGGATGATGCATTACTCAAGGATAGCTGGGAGGAAGTCCAAGCTTCTCCAGAATAGGACGTGCTTGCGCTCATCTTGCTCCTGGAGATCGGCTTCATCTCAAGTTCAGCCCTTTGTATCTTGAGGCAGGGAAGCACTAAGCCTCAAGGAGGGGAGATGCCTCGATGACCGCCGGCCAGCAGCTGTGCCCAGCACGGCCAGCCCCGAGGAAGCTCCCAGGCACCGGCTTCTTCAGGGGGCTGGGCGGCTGCTCAGCCTCATGGTCCCTGCTGGGCTGGGCGGCTGCTCAGCCTCATGGTGTCCTGCCAGGACCTGAGAGCTATGGCATTGCTTAAGGTCCTCAGAGGGCTCACCCAATCACATGACTTGAGGTGTGTTAAAATAGCTGCCATGGAATTTTTCTACAGTTGATTGAATTTCTCCTTTAGATGTGTCCAATGTTGATTGCTTGTTGTCCTTCCCCAAATCTGCACTGACCTCTTCCTGTGGCAGTGAGTGACCCATGCTGTTGACACCTCTGAGGCATCCCTTGCACACACGTCTCCTGTCTAGCTAGCAGCCCAGTTCCGACTCTACCTAAGAAAAAAGGAATTCATGGATTCCAGCTGGAAGCCCAGTTGTCTCTGTCACACGCAGAATCAGAACATCCCCTTTTGAGGTGTTGATGTCATCGTGGCCTATCTGTCATCTTGCTTTCAGCACTATGTCTTTAAAACAGAAGGCAAATCAAACCTCTCTTGCTCATTGAAACCTCCAGCAGCTTGCCCTGTTTATCGCTTAGCACAGCATCAGCAGTGACATGTCGTCCTCCCAACCTCGTGCTCACAGCCTTCGCACCGTCTGGCCTGCTGGCACATCCACTGACTTCCATTCACTGGGTAGTGTAATCTCAGAACCTTGGCTAGCGCCGCTGTTCTGCCAGGAGAAATTGTGTCATATTTTTACCCATTGAAATATCACTACGTGTTCCTGCAAATTTAGTTCTCATTGGCACATACTCATTTTATTTGCATGCTAAGTTGTGGTGTTTAGATGCATATTGTAATTATCAAATCAGAAGATTTAGGGGTTGGCATTGTGGCCTAAGCGGCCAAGCCAGCACCTGTCAGTATCTGTAGTGCTTGATATCCCTCGAAAACACCAGCTCAACGTTCAGCTGCTCAGCTTGCAATCCAGCATCCTCCCCATGTGCTCGAAAAGTAGCTGAAGCTGTCAGGAGTAGTGTGACCTTGACACAAACAAGGGACACCAAGATGGAGCTGCAGGCTTCTGGCTTCAGTCTGTCCCAGCTCCAGCCAATGTAGCCATTTGGGGGAGTGAAGAAGTAGATGCAACATCTCTCTCCTACTTCATCTCTTCCTCTTTCTTTGGTTTTTAAATAATAAACCTTTCTAAGGTTTTTAAAACCCCTTTCTTTGGTTTTTAACATATCTTCACCTTACTCATTTCTCACTCCTTGTTGGTAGAAGCATTCAAAACCTTCTATTCTAGTTATTTTGAAATATAAAGTGTATTCTGGTTAACTTATCTAGTGCCGCAGGACGTTAGAGCTTACTTGTTCCATCTAACTATGATTTTGTAGCCATTGATCAAGTCCTATGTGTTCCCTTAACCTCCCCAGCCTCAGGTAGCCACTCTTTCACTTTGGACTTCAATTTAAAAATCGGTAGAGTTAGATGGTACATATAAGCACAACCATATTATAGCTATCTTTCTGTGTTGGATTTATTTCACCCAGGATTCTATAAATGAAAGAATTTCATCCTTTTTAAGACCAAATGGTATCTCATTATCTTTTGAAGTACATTCACACTCCCTCAATTTATTCATCCATTATTATATAATTAGTTTATTCCATATATTGGCTCTTTAAAAAATGTTTATTCATCGTTATTTTTTATTTGAAAAGGCAGATACACAGAGAGAAGGAGATACAGAGAGAAAGATCCTCCAACTGCTGGATTACTGCCCCAAGTGGCTGCAATGTCCAGAGCTAAGCTTATCAGAAGTCAGCAGCTTCCTGTGGGTCTCCCACGTGGACGCAGGGTCCCAAGGCTTTGGGGCATCCTCAACTGCTTTCCCAGGCCACAAGCAGGGAGCTGGATGGGAAGTGGAACAGCCAAGACACCAACCAACACCCACCTGGGATCCTGGCACAAGCGAAGCCTGCCGAGCTGGGCCCCATATATTGGCTTTTTCAAGATCCAGTTTAAATCTCATCTCCTAGATAAATTTCTTAATAACCACTTGTCACAGTCAAGCTAATGTTAAGTTAAATGACGTCTGTTTCTCTCTGCAAAATCCTGCTGGATTGCTAGTTTCAGAAACAGGTTTATATTGTGGCAAAAACTTGGCATAGAATGCATCCATATTAAAACTCTGCTTTCAATCTTGTTAGAATTTGGTCTTTTCTGTCCTTTAAGCTCTTGAAAGCCATTTGAAACTTCTTTTTGTACCCAGATTTTAATTATACCTTTTTACTTTCAAAGAAAAAAAAAATGACTATCCAGAATCTTGGGAATTTATTGTCAATTATAGACTAGAATTAAACAGTAATTGACCAGAATTTTCTGTCTTATTATTAAATCTTTTCATATTTTGGAAGATTTAAAGTATGTTTAAATCATGCTGGGGAATTAGCTTTGGGAAGCGTATTTCCAATGCACTTTTTGCAATGGCGAAAGAATGCTTGACAAAGCAGAGCGTTTCTGCCTCAGCAGGGACCAGAGAGAAGAGAAGTCCATTGAAAACTTTCCACTGCCAGTGTTTGAAACTGCTGGCATCTGGCAATATGAAAATTGCAAGTTTCGGAAGCCGTAAAAGTCTGCAGCTGTAGGATCAGCTATCTAGAGACTAGGGAGTTTGTTGGCTTGAAGAAATTTGACAGTGGCACCTTGCGATCTTTCTTGCACTATTTTGAAGCAGCAGTCGTGTCTTTTTGATTCATTCACAATTCAATTAGCATTAATGAAAACCCCAAAGGATGCGTTGTGTTAGACAATGAAATTGCTACCTGAGAAACCCTTCTGGAACAGAATGCCCAGTGAGTCCAAAGTCAGAATTGCAGGAAAGGAAAACAATAGATAAATATATCCAGGGTGCAGAAAATCCTGCACTCGGTTAAACCTATCCTGGATAGATTCTGTGTATTGTCTTGGAGATGTCAGGGACTTTGCATGTCACATAATATAAGCAAGGGGGACACAACAAAGCTTTCTTTCGGATAGACAAATGCAAACACCCATTCATAAAACCATTTGCTGGTACTTTTTTTTTTTAAATCAATATTGCCGTTGTCACAGCTGTCTTGCTCTTACTTTGGGTTAATATGGGAGCCTATCAAGCTTCGTCTGTGTAGAATCAACCTTATGGAGCACACACCGGGGATTTGTCTGTCTTCACTGTTTAGAGATACGCCATAAAAAAAATGTGCGTGGAATGGAGTGCAAACACTGCAGATGGCAGACTTTCAGATTTATCGTAAAATCATTGAAAATCGGTTATACTCTCGCCAGAGGTTAATTAATTTTCTTTTCTGTTCTTTTCTGGGGCTGGGGGCTTGGGTGGGGGCGGGCTGTGTGTCTCACTAGGTGGCAGTGTGTGATTACATCTGGAACAGCCCTGGCCTCCAGTCCAGTGTTGCCAGCTGTGACCTCCGACACCAGCAAGAGACTTGTGTGACTGCACTTGGTCCAGAAGATGTCACTTCTCATGTGTCCATACACACTGTGTATCCCGGTGGATTCCAGGAGCTGTATCGCCACTTTCTCAGGCTGCCTGGTGGTGCCATTGTTGAGGTACGTATCTATGCAAATAGTTTGATGCAAATGCTATGTATATTTTGTTGTGTAAGTTCGTATGTCTTTGCGTTTTAGTTGTGTGCTTATACATGATTTCAAAGGGTTCGATATCACTTTATAGGCAGTGTAACTAGTATTTCTATCGTGATGGGGTGCTTGAAAATGTATTTGCGTTTTTACCTACACAAGAAATCACATAGGGAAAATACACTTTTGCATGTAACTATGTCAGGGAGAGGCAAGTAACAAATTGAGTGAGATAACTGCAGGCAATTATTTATCCCGCTAAATCTGTAAAATCAGGAGGTTGATGTTGTAGAGTTCTGAGTTCGTAAGTTCCATGCCTTGGGACCTCTTTCCCGCCTTTGATTAATACATTACACAAAACCAATGAGTTGCTGGCATTTCGTTTTTCTCGTCCATGACAAATCATCAAGCAAAATGTGACCTCATCACATTTTATAAAGAGCATTTGAAAGCATCATTTGCAAAACTGTATTTTTTTTGTTTTTTTTTTCTAAAAATGCCAGTATTTAGATGGGCTGGTTTTAAAATTTTAAAATAAGTTACCTTTTTAAATTAATATAAAGAGAACAGATTTCATGCAGTTCATATAGAGCATAAGAATCTCATACTATTTCCTTTCTCTTTCTCTTTCCTTCCTTCCTCAACTTTTGCAATAACATATTTTCAGCATATTTAATAGCCACAGGCTTAATTTTCCACTAAATAAAAAGTTCCATCAGTAAATTCTAGAAGGAACACTGTTGAAATAGAGGTCATTAACATGTTGCATCAATTCTCAGTGTGCGCAAACCGAAGATACATGGTCCTTCCAGGATCTGTCCTGTTAGTGGCTAGGTTGCCACATAATGCTATCTGAAGGGGAGTTTTTACATGGTGGAGAAAGTAAAATATATTTGGTTCTCTTGTTTTCATGCAACACAGTGTTAAATGTTTAAAATTTGAAGAATACCCCTGCTCCCTTCAAACTCCCTATAAACTTTGCCACAGTTTCTATTATAAAATGATACAAGCCCCTTCTATACAAACTTGGAGATATTTTACGTTGCTTAGAGCCAAGAATCACAGATAGAAAGCTTCTGCTTTGTCCAACGTGAGCCCACAGCATCGTTTAGTTATGTAAGGAGTCCTCTGTCTTCTCAGGAAAGCTTGGGGTAGGATGCAGGAAAGAAACCAGAGAGTAACGTAACAGGGAGTGGTGTAGATTACAGCAAAGGAGCAGGTGGATGTGTGATGGCTGTACCCAAGGTCATTCCTTGAAAGCTTGAGTCAGGGCTATTCTATTGGCGTCTCTGTGAAAAATACCTGGCAGACGTAACAAGCATTCCTTTTAGGAGGAATCCGTTCGCAGAAGCCAACTGTCAGAACTTTCCTTTATGCTTTGCTTTTAGGTTTCTGGGGGCACGTGCTTAACACTGGAATGGCACAAGCTGAGGACCCTAGATACCAGGGGTAGCTCCCAGACCTAATGAAAACCCAAGAGGAAGGTGCTGTGGTCCCAAGAGCAGAATCATCCCCAGGGACTTCTATTCCCTCACCCCATTTACTCCATAACCTTGGCTTAGTCATTTCTCTGCCTCTTTCCTTATTTGTAAAACTGGGTTATGAATACTTGTACTACCTGGCTCATAGGGATTTGGGGCAGATTAATGAGATAACAGCTGCAAAGTACTTTTAGCTCTTGGAAAAAAAAAGGGTGCACTGAAGATTACCAACCATTCTAGATCATGCACAATTAAAGGCACTTGACTTTTTTTTTAAGATTTATTTTTATTATTTTTTATTGGAAAGGCAGATATACAGAGAGGAGAGACAGAGAGGAAGATCTTCCGTCCGATGATTCACTCCCCAAGTGAGCGCAACGGCCAATGCTATGCTAATCCGGAGCCAGGAGCCTCTTCCAGGTCTCCCATGTGGGTGCAGGGTCCCAAAGCTTTGGGCCGCCCTCGACTGCTTTCCCAGGTCCCAGGCAGGGGGCTGGAAGGGAAGCGAGGCTGCCGGGATTAGAACCAGCACCCATATGGGATCCCGGGGCATACAAGGCGAGGACCTTAACCACTGCGCCACCGCGCCGGGCCCCAAAGGCATTCGAGTTTTAAATCACTTCCTGGGTACTCATATTAGTGTTATGCTGGAAATACAGCAAATTCATTTCCAGAGGAATTGAGTGTTGAATCAATAGGCATTCATAAACCCACCTGGCTGTTTCCAAGGCCCTTGCCTTATGTGACAATAACGTCAGGAGTGCACACGGCACTGAAAGGAGACTGTGTCCCATGTTCAGGTCCCAGATAATGCTCAGGAAGCTGCCAGTTCTGTTACACAGTCTACATCAACCCGTTGATTTACTGATCTGCTTCTTAGTCCGTGAAAGCCACATCCAACTGACTCTACCCATGTGTGTGTTTCCTGTGACGCTCATCACGAGTGATAATATGCTTGCTTGATACCTACTTTCCCTCCTGGAGAAACTGGAAAGCAGCACCAATCCCAGAGGAAGTGGACATGCAGACACCTGCCTAGTTATGCAGCAGTATTGCTAATTCCTTTTATCTAGAGCCTAGAGGAGGAGGGTCACTGCTACTCCAGGCTACAAAACCAGAGGTTGGAAAGCCGTGAGAGCGGTGTCTGCTTTACCTCTCCCCGGATGCGTGAAACATGTCAAGCACACAGAGAGACGATGCTGTCTGGGTGAAACAATCCTTGAACTTTTAAGGTGGTGGCTTTTAGGAAGTCATCTACTCACCCTTCAGTTAGCTGCAACCCTGTAATTCTCCCTGTTAAGTACTTAGTACTTAAGGAAGTCTATTTGAATTGCATTGGATTTCAGGATTCTGAATCCTTCTGCATGATTAGTAATTAGGCACTTTGGGATTCTAATTATCAAGGGCCGTATTGTGTGAGTGTAAAGAACCCACACTTAGAATTCACTTGGACCTATGAATCCCACACAGCATTTTGTCAGAAATCGTGATGTGGAAAGACAGTTTGTGTTTACCAGTTGCAATGGCAATGAACATGAAACATGCGTGATGCTTGAATTTGGGCTTAACACTTGTGGCCTGAATTCTGTTCCTGAAGTATTTATCATTTTTAAATAGGCCATCTTGTTATCTAAGTTCTTTCCGCAATCAACACAACTTGAATTTGTACCTAGTATGATTCCAAAATCTCTCTTAACTGTCATAGTGGAATATAGGTCATGCAGTGCCCTTTGCTCCGTGCTTGCGTGCTTGCTTGCTTTTGCCACAAAAGACTTAGCATTTTGAGTTTGGAGCTAGCTGTCTTTGAGTTTTTGTTTACTTAGAACACTATGCTTTTGAGAAATAATTGGTGAGAAAAGAGGTTAGATTTCCTGAGCCTGAAACGGAAGGTGTGTTACCAACTGCAATACCTTTGGATATGTCAGTAAGATATTTCATCTGGTTTTGTGCCCCATGGTGACCCAGCTCTGAAAACATTCTACATATTTTGTTTTCAACAAAATACTGTCACTGCCTCCTACAACTGCTTGTCAGAGCTGGCAATTGGTCAACTGTGCAGCGAGTGTCTCTCCCTCTGATTTTCATCAATTTGATTTCTTCGCTTGGTAGGTAGGCGATCTTGTGGTATTTTGCAAGAACAAAGTTGCTAAAAGTTTTTTCAGTGTTACAAAACCTAGAAACCCAGGCAAGAGTATGCAGATTCATCAAAGCACAAATAAGCTTCCTGATCCCTGGGTATCAGTCGCAATTAAGAAAGTCCTTGGAGCATTAGTTGGGGTGGAATGGGAAAACGAATTTTGTCATTAGAGGCAGTGTCTTCTGGTGGTCTGGGTGGAGAACTGGGAGTCAGGAACTCGGCGATCAAGCAGAGGCTCGGTACGGCTCTAGGCGAGCGGCTGGGTCTCAGGAGAGGGGCCTCACCTACTTTGAATCTCCCATCTGAAGAACTTCTTACCCAGGGCCAGGGGACACACAGCAGGAAGCCTGATTCCTTGTCTGCAAAATTAGAATGTTAATATTTGCCTAATAATGGATTAACCAATTAGTGGTTGTGAAGTGTTCCGCTGCTAGAAAGCCGCGAGAGAAGAAAGGACAAAGTGAAAACCAGTGACACAAATTCGGAAAATGGGATTTCACTCAGCTCAGTGTTTGCCCTTGCAGGTAGAGACCACTGAGCACAAAGAAAGCGAGCATCAAGGCTGGACTCTGGTTGGTTTTGCCCCCGGTGTGGGGCCAAGTCTGTTGACTGCATGCTGCAAGATTGCAGGAAACTGAATCAATGGCGTGGGGAGTGGGCGGCCAGGAGCACGTTTTCTTGAACGGAGGTATTGCTGATCCACACCTCACAAATATTCCAGAGTGTTCCAGCTAGAATTCATCTGTTCTAATTTCTTCCAGAAAAGATTATTTCATGTGTTTGAAAATTCCTATATTCATACTCTCTCTCGGCTGATTCGTAAAGTTAGAGTATGTTGCACAAGAGAGGGGGAGATATGTAAAATCATGTAGAAGATAAATTCATGCAAAATTTGGTGCTGTAGAGCACATTTGTTGATGTATATTGTCGATGATATATTGCATTTTTTACTGGGAAGATTATTTCACCGGGCATCCTTTAGCCGAAAATTTGGGAAACAAAATAAATCCATCTTATGTTTCTCATTTCACCGACTTTTAGGGTGCTTTGAAGATACTATGCAAAAGTAATTAATTTACAGAAAATGAGAGCAAATGAGTTTCTCTCCCTAGACTTAGAACACTAAACCTTCATGCGTGACACTGGCGTGAGGAGACGCAGAAGGCGTGTGGAGTGTGCTTTGTTCATGAGTAGATGGAGCAACACGCATGGAAATGAAGTGGTACCAGCAGTGGCAGGTCTGCAGCACCCCTCACTGAAGGTGCCGGGAACACGAATGCATTTTCCTTTTAATCTTCAAATTCAAACGTAAAGTTATCAGCGACTGATGTTTAAAGCAGCAGAATGCCGTACTGCTTTGCCTTTTCACCAGTAATGAAAATGATTGTCTACTGTACCTGCCCTGCCTAAGGTCATTACTTTGTTACAGCTAAACCTTAGCTCTTAAAATTATGCCGCTTCTTAAAAAAAAAATTACCAGGGCACCATTCAAGTCCACGACCAAACAAAAATCTAAATATAATACCACGTAAAAGATATTTTCCAGCTACCCTACCATGAAAAGACTTAAACTGACATGTTTACTAACCATTTATTGATATGTCTAGGAATGGAGATCCGTCTGAAAATGACTTGAAAGAATTATTCTCGTATGTATTTGTCAAAGGATTTCATTTGCGTGTAATAACTAGATCAGTGAGACTCGCTGCGGAACGCTGACTTTCACGAGGGCTGCCTGCCACTCTCCCTCAGCGACACGCAATATTTTATTTGTCTTATTTTTGTTAGAGTGGAAAATGTTGGCGCTGTCCTTTGTTTAAACCAAAACGCTGTTGAACAGACTTCCACACAGTGCAACAACCTCAGACGCAGTGTTTACAAAAACAAGTAGGTTTTGGGTTTGAAAAAAAAAACCAGTTTAAATCATGGGGCTAAGCTTTTATTGATGAAATAGCCTTAATTATGTCTGTGCTTACTTTCCTAAAAGAATTGAGAAGAACGACCTTGAGTCCTTTTTTCTGTGCTAGTTTGAGATGTGATATTCAGAGTGTTTTTAAGACTTCAGATCTTTACTGAAATAACTGCTGTTGTTAAGTACTAAATCTTATAAATCTAACATCTGTGCTCATATGTCGAAGCAACAAGTCATGAGTTATTCCTGCCATATTTAGCATTCTCTATTTAAATTGTTGTGCACAATAGATATTAGATATTCCTGAAATAATTTCGGTCTCATTTACCAAGCACATTTTGGATTTTTGGATACTCTTTGAATCTGCAAATAATGGAATGTATGGAAACTATTGAAGGGAATTTTCCTCTTATTCTTTGAGGAGTCTCTAGAAAGGTCTGAAAAAATGAATTAAGTGAAATCATTTTGACATGAAAAAGTTTTAAAATCTATACATAGCTTTTCAAAAAACACACATTCTACATAACTTAAGTTCTCTCATGTACGTGGACCTTGGTTTTATTTTTTGCCTCAAAATAAAATTATGATTTCTTTTTCTATGAACTATCATGAGTATCAGAATCAACAGATATATGTACGATATATCAGACAGGAAAGTTTCGTTGCATTATCAGTGTTAGGCATATTAAGGATGAGGACCTAGTTTCATAAGTAAAACTTGAGACTTGAACCAAAATATGTGGTTAAAAATGACAAACATGAATATTTGAGAGTCAAATAATTAAATCTTTAATATATAGTAAGTAAAGATTGGACATTTTACCTTGAGTAAAAACATGTTGGTTTTTAAGTCCTATTTTTTCTTTCTTCTCATTATATTTGCTCATCTTCATTCATGAAGCATTTTGGAAATTTTTAGTTCCTTATTACAAGTGTTTGTGTCAATCCCACGTCCAGAGTCCAGTTGTTGATTCAGATGAGCATTCTTAGAAATCGGGATTCTTGTCTCAGCCCCACTTAACAAGGCTGCCTAACACTGATTTCTAGAATAGTCGGGATAATCCATTTAAGAAAAGGGGCAAAATAAGACCATCACTACTAAGTGTCACTATAGGGCCTTATGTGCAGTTATACACATTAAGGAGATGTTTGGTGTATTTTGCAAGTATGTAAATATTAACCTGAGAACTAGCTGCAGATATTGATTTTTTTTTTCTCTTTCCTAAACCATTCTTTCTGTAAAATTTCTCAGAAATGCATCTAGGATTTCTCCACAGAGAACTGAAACACTCACTTGTTGATGATAAGAGAGGAATGTCAAAAAGAAGTTGCTTGAGCATATTTGTACCCTATCAAGTATTTTAGGTCTTGCTTACATTTTCTAACATACTGGCATAAGATCATCTGAGTTTATTTTATGTGCAAAACCACGTATGGTGTGCGGAGTGACAGTTAAAAGAATGAGACAGTAGCGGGAGCCCACGCTCGGAAGCGATCTTGACACTAATGCTGAATTACAACTTGGAAACATCTAGCATTTTTACCTTTATGAAAAAAGGCTTTTTACATATTTAACATAATTCCAGGGAAAATCAACTGGAATTATGTATAAAGATGTGAATACTGTAACCAAAGGGCATTTATATTCCCCTGTAGAATACTTACGATGATTTTATTGCCATTTTGCGTCATTTTCTAAAGGATATAAAATACAACTGGTAAACAAACTAGACTCTAGATTTAAGATGACAGCTGCTCCTTCAGAAGCGATATTCAGATATTTAATGTTAAGAGCACTGAATATTCTACCACGCAGGAATGCATACTTTTACAGAAACAGGACTGCCTCTTCTCTTCTCGTTTTCTCGGCTCTAATGATCAACACGTCTGCCATCACCACCCAGCATTGCTTATCCCTGGAGAATAAATCAGAAGTTTGTCTTGTAGCTCGTTTAAGCATCGGAGCAAGTTGATACTAAGAACTATATATATATATTTTTTTCCAAAATGCAAAGCCGCCTTTGTGTTAAACTGATACGAATTCACTCTGTGAGTTGCAGGATGCTGTGTCATTACAAGCTCTAATCATGCTATCAATTATTTTTAATTTTAATAGGCTTCTTATCCTCCTCTTTCAGGTGGATATGTTTATCGTCTATCAATTTAAACCCTGTCGAACAAAATTTGCACTTCATCTCGCGGCCATGGTGGATTTTGGTGTGGTCTCAAACTCTTTTTTGAGTAGGCAAATCAGTGCTTTGAAAACTTAATCCTGCATGAAGGGGCAAAGAAATTTAAAAAAAGACAAAAAAAATAATATTTTTAACATTTTCTATTTTATTCTTTCTTCCCCTTATCCATGCATCATATTGATAACAGCCTTTCACTAAAAATTTAACGACATTGCATTTTTTTTTCTGGCACCGGGACATGACTTAATTGTAAATATAATCAGTTTTGTCTTCTTAAGAAGAAATTAATGCTGAGCCAGAGCTTTAGCCAGAGGTTATTTTCCGAGGAATCCGGGTACTTCCCTTTGCCAAAGAACACCCATCCTGCCCCATGTACCAGACAACGGGATTATGGTTTCTACTTGTGCGTTGGTCACAATGGGACACTGGCACTTCCTGGACTGTGGGATCCATGCATTTTATCTGCTCCCAGTGTCTGAACCAACACAGGGAAAGCTAAGCTGCTGCTCCGTTAGCTCGCCATCACACATTTTTCAGACGCTAGTGATGGGAGACGGAGTGTGTATACCAAGTCACTAGTAGTTTCAGCCTCAACTAGACGATGTACCAATGCTAGCTCCCTCCCACTCCCAACCCCCACCCCACGGAGTTGATTCTTAACATTATTTTTGTTGTTTTATCAGAGGGGTAAGATTTGCAGCTCTTTCTTTTGCCTTTTTTTAATGAATATCTGTATTATTTCTTAAAGACGGATTCCAACCGTGAAAGTGTTAAGTGGAAGAAGAGAAAGTAAAGGACAGATGATTGAAAAGTATGAACACGATATGTGTATAAACATGTTTGTGTACTTATCTGTGTCCTGGAAAAATCTTCCAGAAAAATGAACAAATATGAAACTGCAAGTCAGCGAAGGAAATGTTTATCCAGTATCCCGAGAGTCCCTTGGCCATAGTCACACCAACAGCACTTGATTTTTTGGAGATCATGCTGCCTGTAATATGCATTTACATAAAAACCATAACTCGCTGTCCTTGTCCTGCCTTTGAAAGGTGTTACAGGACTCGATAGCTCCTTCTTTATTTCCAACGCACAGCACCTTTCAAAGAAAACCGATTCATTATCCGAACATCCCCAGAATCATCGCCGCTGCCTCCCGTGGTTAAAAACCAGGCACTCCAGCTACAGACTTGCATCTCAACTGCTTGACTGAGTACCTGTCCAAGTCTAGCACAGGAAAATATAACGGAGTCCAAAGTCCTAAGTTGTTTGCAACTTTATTTTTTTTCTGGCAACATTTCTACTCATTAACCAATGAAATCCCCCAAAATCCCCAAAACTACAACATAAGAGCTTATTTTGACACACATGATTGGAAACAAATTACTCTATTCGAATTGGTAAAAAAAAAAAAAATTAAAGGTATTTTCAGATTTCCTTATATTCTGGTGGCTGTAAATGGAAAATGGTGCTTGGCACAGAATCACCATAGTAGCCAACAAATGGGTTTTCTGGCAACCGTATTTGAAGCTGGTTTTGGTTTAATTCTCTCTCGAACTTCACAGGCTGCAGGATATTTGTTAATTCAAAGTACACACAAATTATCTTGTCCAAGGGACTTCAAACATTTCACGGAATATGTGTATTCTGAACGAATGATGCCTGAATTTCAAGATTCTTTAACGTAAAAAATAGCTATCTTTTACTCCATATTTCAGCACACATTTGGACGTCCTCTCATCTTTGGCGCAGCAAATAGAGTACCTGCGCTCTTTGTTAAGTTTGTTGGAGTAAATGACCAACACCAGTCTCATCCAGATGGTTCTGTGGTGTTCATCCGAGGGTCTGGTGTGATGCAACTGGGTGGGGAAGTGTTCGAGCCAGCTCAAGCGCCCCCTGGCGATAACTGCGGGGTTCCTGCAGTCTCCAACACACTAAAGCTCTTCTGCTCCCACGTTTCTTCTTACCTGAGCGCTCTGGACTCTAAAAATTCCACACTAACGAGAAGGTGCTAGCGATGATGCCAGCAATTCATTTCCTGCAAGATAGAGTGAGACTGCTATTCGGAATTTCATTCTCAACAACAGACAGGCTAGGAATGACAGGCGACTTAGGAGAAAGTGGCCTTGTCACTTTGGAATTCATGATCTGGGGAAGGTGGTATGCCATACAATGGGATTGCATTTCACGAGTTCAGGGAAGAATTAACCTACTGGATTTAAAAGCAAATAGAGACACATACAAAAAAAAAAGACACAATTTGATTCTGGCTTGAACGGAAATAAGCATGAATTACTCAAATGAATGCCTTAATTCAAAGAAGGCTTTCCAGCAAACAAGTTTAACAAAATTATAGGTAACAAGTCTTCAATGAGAGATGGTTAAGCAGAATGACAAGAAAAGGCCAAGGGAAAAACAATCAAATGTTTCAAATGGCAGTGGAAGAAGTTGGCCCTGAAATGCCCACCAAGAGAGACCCAATAGGCAGGAAAAAGTAAGGTGTCCAAGCACACCTGTTTTTCTTGACACTACTTGTTATATATGCTAAATGCCTACCCATTTCTGCTCAACCCCGAAGGATTTGTATTGGCTCACGTCAATGGGAATTGCCATAGCAATTATGGGGCAGCTAAATTCAGGCTTTCAACAGAGGTTATCCAGTCTCCTTCTCTCATGTATATTGGCTCAATTCTTGAGACTCTTCTTCCTATCATAGCATCACTCCCAGCTTTTTTCATCCCTACTCTTCAGTGTCTTGAAAGGGTGTTTCTTTCCCCCATTATCCGGTAATCCAGTCAATACATTTTTTTCCTTATGTGCCTGCCCTGAAGATGGGCTGTGATGGTCTGGTCATGTGATCTGCAGCCTTAGTAGGAGATAGAAGAGTAGATTTAGAGAGAACCAATGCCTTCTGCAATCTAGGAAAAGCTCACCAGGTTGGCAGATATGCCCTATCCTATCTAGGCAAATCTATTGCATTTGCCAATTTACTTACAGATGTGTTGCTCTGCTTTTCTCATCTTGAAAGCCTTCATGTCAAGGGGGTCTCAAGTAGGGGGAAAACAAATCACCAGCAAAGGGTTTGGAAATGTCCCATACCTCCAAGATGCTAGGGAGACACAAGAAGTCAGTGACGGCGGTGATGATCATATCCTGTCCAAAAATGAGCCCAAACTGTGTGTGACAAGTGAAGCAGGATGCTGGCAGGGTCACTAGCTGTGCTCAGCCTGTGTGCACAAAAGCATGCTCTAGATGCAGTGACTTCTTATTACAAGAGGTGTTGGTCTGTGAGTTCCCCTCTATGCATTGCACCAAACCCAAGTTATTAAGGACAAGAGAGAAAGTCCCAGTTTTGTTTCTTATTTTGGCATTGTTCGTGTCAGCAGAATTAGAAAGATTGTCTTCTCAAACATATTTTAATTGATAATTATGAGCCTGCCTTCTGTGCTACTAAATTTGCAAACATAACTTTATATTTTGGTAGGGTTATTTCAAAAACCTTGTAAAGGTCCGAAATGAAACTGAACCATAAAGCCTCAATGATAAACCTTCAGTTAAACTGTGGAATTAGGACAATAACATGATGTTTTACATGATTTCCTGGCTATACTTTTTTTTTCAGGGGGTAAATAAGAAATAAAATGGCAGTGTTTATTCTTTCCACTTACATATTTGGTAAGCTAAGCTTGTTCTCATTGTATCCTCACTTTCCAGGTGTTTGGTAATCTTGGTGACTGGAAGTTGGTGCACAGTGAAGTGATCGCAGCTATTCAGGAGCAAATAAATGGGACAGACGCTACGCTGGGAGACACATTTGATGTTACAATGAGAGTAGTGAAAAAAAATCTCTTAAAATAAATCAGGTAGGTTTAATGCATTGTTTATAGATGAGCATACCCGCCAAAGAGGAGCCTTGTTGCTTTGCAAGTCTCCGCTGTGAACCCAGTTCCTTTGAATGAGTCTGTACTCTGTTTTTATTTTTTTTTCCTTCTGTTGGAGAGGCAGATAAAGAGAGAGGATTCTTCAGTGGGTCCACTCACTGAATGTCCAACAGTGGCCAGGGGTGGACTATGGCTGAGGTCAAGATCTGGCACATTGGTCCAGACTTTTTGTTAGGTGGCAAATATCCAACTACCCAACCAGTCACCGTCTCACAGGCTCTACATGAGCAGAAAGTATTGCCAGAAATGCGTGACAGGTTCCTTCCTCAGTCTAACATACTAATAAAAATCTGGGAACTGGCTGCAGAGAAATCTATTTGTGAAGTGACCAGGTGAGAGGAGAAAAAAGGGGAAGCAGAAATAACCCTCCCAAGAGAGAGCTGGGAGATGGGGTGCCTCTTGAAAGGAGAGCAGGAGAGACATCAAAGTTTTGAAGAAGTGTCTTGGAATTTTACACATTCCCTGACCCCACCTTGTTGGATAGAAACCTACAGGTAAAGGGGTCCCCATTGGTGGTCTCTTAACCAGTTATGAAATGGGTGGACAATGCTTGTGCCACCTACTTGAAGATGTGGCCATGATTTCAGCAGGCTTGGGAAATCTCAGAATGCAAGCGTCAGAGTGCACAAACAGGGATCAAACCCGGGTATGCTAATGTGAGCCAGGGGGTCATGGCTAATCTGTAGGCCATATGCATGCACTACTCAGTACATTTTCAGCAGATAAGGAATAAACAAAGTATTTTAAACTTGACTTAAATTTATACCTGCTGTATAATGATACTGAATTGATTGAAGAATGCCAAGTTGGGTAATCAGTCGATTTCTTTTTTTCTTGACAGATGTTTCCTTTAGAAATAAATTGGCGACCCAATAGAAAGACTCACCTAAAGGAGAAAGCATTACTTTTTTCTCCCAAAGGGTGACCAGGGCCACAGCATATTTTATAAGTAGTTGAGTCACCTGCTAATATGTGATTGCAAAGCATGGGTTGTTCGCTATTTCAAAATCCAAGTCTGCAGTGTACACTGTCTTCCTGTTACTTCACATTTGTTTTCTCTGTCATTGGACATACCTTCATGAGCATGAAGTATTAAGCAGTAGGTCCAATATTTGTGTTTATCTAAAGCTTTGCTTGCATTGAAAGTATATGGTGTGGGTGAGTGATGAATTAGGATTTGCTAAAGTTTTTCCTTGACTTTTCTGTTGTTGAAAACAAACTTTGATATTCATTGGCTCGTTACTAGCTCTAAGTCCAGCACTGTTGTGCTGTCAAGTTCAGAAAGAAAAAAACTGCAATTTCTTTGCAATTAAAAATAATCTCATAAATCTGGGCTTTTCTACACATAGTTATTTAAAAAGTAGTGGGAAAAAAGGAGGTTTTTAATTTTTGTAATGCCACCTATTTTCTGTGATTCTTTGTGCACCATGAATAATAATCCCATGGGTATATATTGACGAGGAATATTTTACAGCCAGCCTTTCTGAAGAGGGGCTCCAAACTCTGAGACCAGACCACAAGGATTAAAGTCCCTTCAGAGAGTACACATGTGTTTACACAGATCCAAATCCTATTCAGAAGTTAAGTTTCTGGGGCGGGGGGTTGTAAACTCACTGATTCAATCACCAGTGGTTTTCAGTGTACTAAAGATAATTTATAATGGTAGCAACTATTTTTCAAAAATCTATTTGTAGAACAGTATCTATAAACTCACACTTCTCAACCATTTCACTGATAATTTCTAATCTCATATTATAGTTATTTACCAATTGACTTTCACAATCCCGTATAGATACGATGCACCCTAAAGTGTGACTATAATTGAAAATTCTAAATAAAAAGTTCTCTTAATGCCTCACTTTTTATTGCCTAGATTATTCATATGAAATTAATTTACATGTTGCTGTACATTTTCAAGTGAAATCTATAAAATGTTCTTTGTATTAAGCCTCGTGACAATAGATAGATTATTCTATGTGTCAGTTAAGCAAGTGGATGACAAATGAATGATTTTCATCATTCAGTTAAATATGGTGCTAAGTGGTATGTGCTAGCATTAAAAGCAAATTACTTAGCACTTCAACAATCACAGCATGAGAGCATTTCAGTGTTCTTTGGTTCTCAGTTTTATTAAATAAATCAACTGATAATGCTTGGAGAAGCAGAAGAAAAAGGCTTCATGGTATTATGGTGTTTCCATTCTATAAATACAGAGTCAAGAGATATCAAAAATGTTCTTTTATTCTTATTTTACAGTAAACATGTTTTACATTGTCATAATAAAGAATTCACGCACTTGCCCAAAGTACGTGTATACCCATGCATGATGTATTATAACAAATTGCTGGGACACAAAATTAAAAGATGAATACATACTGGCAGAAAAAAATTCAAGTAAAACTAGTTCCAAGCACATAAGTGAAACATGTGCCAATGTTACTGTGGTACTTCCAGGTGGCTATTTAACTTGAATGCCTCTAGAATTGCGAAAAGATCTTTAGTCCACACAAAAACACTTAGGACTAAGGAATCCTTCCAGTTGTTTGAAAATAACCATACTCAATTTGAGGTTGTTATGAGTGGTACTTAATGTAGCACCAAAGTATGTTGGCAAATAGTAGGATCTAACGAGTCACTCACAATTTAGTAGAATAGGTATATGTGGTCTTATTTTTTGAAAGATTAAGATTTTTTTTAATGTAGCACACTTTACATTGATATTCCCTTTTTTAATTGGTATGGACTTGGCATTAGGAAGAACAAATATACTTGGAGTGAAGAAAGTCACACTTATACTGCCTTGAGTGAACCGATGAATTTTCCATTGGTCTCTCTCCAAATGTTTGTCACACTCAATCAATGTCTGTAGCACTCAAACAGAACCCAATTTGTATATAATGCAGTGATGCATTGGTCATGTGTCCTGGACCCAAAGATCTATTGGAGGCACTAATTTCTCATTGGCAGCTAACAGAATGGACTAGAATTTAGAGAGTTGTCTTTCTTATTGATTTTCCTAACCCATTCAGATCTTGATAGAAGCAGGAATTCTTTCTTGATATAGGCTAAGTTCC